GTATGAGACTTGGTTTTGAACAATAGCAGTAAAAGTGAGTTACTGTGAAGTCTTCAGGCACTACTATATTCATGAACAGAATGATCCAAGTGTCTAGTGTTTTGGGAATATGTGAAATTAGGAAAAAGTACATTTCCTCTGATTAATGTACAAGAAGGAGACTTGGATTCTCAATTGCTGAGGTACCACCATTTGGAACAGAACCTTTATCTTGCTATCAAAGGTTAGACATTGGGTATTCTCATACCTCATACCTGCTGCATGTCAATAGACTGACAAGTAGTTTCTTTACATGGCATGTCAACTCAATGCTTTTGCTACTCATTTATGATTATTCCTATAGGGTACATAAGGAATTTGTCTGAACGTGGAAATAACTTCAACAATGAGGGGAAAGAATCTATACCTAAAAAGTGAGAGATTTATCTAGAGGTAGGTAAAATTTTAGTTTTAGAAACTGCTGTGATCACATAAATAAAAGAAGCAAAACTGCCCGAACTGATACTATCAATTAAACAATTTAAATAATCTTATTATTAACAATATCATTAGCTAAGTCTTAGATATTATCTTTCCAATCAGTTTGATTTTTGTTTTTAATGAGCATTTGGTTTATGTGTTTGTCATCCAGGAACACAAAGTGCAAAGAAAAACAAATATTGATTTTGAATTTACTCACAAATAGGGGGACTGTTGTGATTAGATGTAATAAAGTGAAAAGAATTCATCTTGGGGTTAGTTCAGAATCTGCCTCTTCAGTTCTCAAGACCTTTGTGGCATTTGTGAACTTGCCCAAGCCCTAACAGTTGCTTTATAATCACTTTTGAGATGGGGAAAGCATATTTTGCTATTCAAGTTCCTTGACAAATGGAGGTAATATGCACAGGCAGTCCTTAACACCTGTTGCAAGCTGTGATTTCTATTCCCACTTCTGTATTTTCTACTCTTTTTATTTGCCTTCAAGTGGTGGAGCTGCGAGAGAGTGTGTAGGATCAAGGAGACCTCTAGCTAAATCCTAGCTTGCTACACAGCAGCTTTAATATCAAATGACTCCCCCTCACTCCACTATCTTGATTTCTCTACCACTAATAGAACTAGCAACAGAACATCACCATGGTACTTTGAATATTAAGTGAATTTAATTCACTTGTCTTGTCCAGGGCTCAGTCCCTTCAAGGGTCTGTTGTCCCCTCTTAGGTATGACGGATGAAGGTGGCATTATCCCTGGCTCTGACTCTATGTCAGAGTCCTGGCCCTGCTTCTTCATGAGCATGAAGGAACCAGTGTAGACTCTGTCACGTGAGGGAAGTTCATGAGCTGATGTTGAATTAAAGAACAGTATCGCTGGCCTTTTAAAGTCTTTCTATTAGAAAGTTATATGTAAGTACTTGGTTAACCTGTAAAACCATCTTGTAAAACATTTATTTTATCTTTTTATCACAAATCTAGTATTTATCCAATGTTCTTTCATTTAATATCAGTGTCATTCTGCTAATTAAACTCTTTGAAAATCTTCCTAGGCTCTTAGTTCATTTAATCATTTATTAAACCTTTATAGATTACTTGCAATGTTACAGATGCTCTGAAGTTTGTGAGGGACATGACAGTGGCCAGAATGCAAGCCCTTATATCTAGGGATTTATTTGCTAGTGGAGAAGAGGGCTGTGCAGACTTGAGATCCCAATCATAAAAACTATGAGAGCCATACAGCATCTAGTAGGGAACACCAGATTTGAACAGTGATCCTAAAATAAAGATTATATATTTGTAAAGAGACAAAGGAACACTTCAAAGAGGAAATGCTTATGAGGAAATATGAGTATAAATGAAGCAGTGGAAATTTCAGAAAGCTGTAAATATCAAATTGAGTATGCATGTAGAATGGCATGAACAGGGAAGCTGTGAGAACACATATTTTACATATTATATGCATATTATTTGAATATCATATATTATATATATATATACCATATACAAAATTCTTATTATCATTCAATTTTTGATTACTCTAAATGTAGAGTAAGTTATGCACAATAATTATGCTCATATACTATTAATTTATATAAAATTAAATATATATTAAGTATATTAATAAACATTATGTTTGCAATATTTATCCTAAAATTAGAGTAACTGGAGATTGGAGGAGGGCAAGGATAGAGACAGTCATACTTAAGAGAAAGTGATTGTCCATCCTCAAGGATGAGGTATGGGGATACCATACTTGCATAAACAATCATCTGAAAGATTTCTGCAAGATCTTCCTAAAAATTTTCCCCAGCTTTTCTTCTTTTTAACAATTCCACCTGCGAACTAATTGAACTATATTTTTTATCAAAGAATAAAGCAAACCATCCTAATCTCTAGCCTTCTAAATTCTTCCAATATATTGCATGATTTCTATAGCAAAATTTTAATGAGAAAAATAATACTGAAGAGGATGTAAAGACTTTAAGGATGCATCTTATGGAATGTTTGCAAATGAATCATCTAGGGCCCATCCACCAAACCTAGAATGAGAACTACTCTGGTGCTTGGAAGCTCTCAACCTGCTTATTCAAGACCAGCTCCTGCTTGCAGGTAGCCATTACTTTGAATTTTATTTAAAAAATCATTTTATTTTTATTCATAGATTTATTACCTGTTTTTGTACATCTAACAATGTCAATTGATTTGTCTTACATATGGATTAATCATGTTGCTTGTATTTTTGACTTTCTCTTAGAATCTGTTGTTATTATGTTTAAAAAGTTCATCCATGTTGTTGAATCATGGATTTATTCATTTTCTGTGCTGTATAAAATATAATTTTCTGACTATACTTTAATCATGCACTCTCGTGCTGATGAATACATATATTGTCTTCATTTTTTGAGCAATTACAGACTATGCTGCTATTTTTGTATATGTGTCCTGGCGGTATGAATTCTTATATCCCATAATCAGTAAACAGTTCACAGAATCAGTAAGTATCATGTAATTTTCTGGCACCCCTAATGATGTCCTTGTTTTCACTGCTGATAATAGTTTTCTGTTGTTTGTGGTTTCTCTTTTATTTCTTGATCATTTTCAGCAAAAGTTTATCAGTATTATTTGTCTTTTCGAAGAACTGTCATCTGGTTTGTTGATGTGCCTTATTGTATCTTTTGTTTCTTTTACTTTCTTTGGCTTATGTTTGCCATTATATGACATATTTTCTTTTTTTTAGATTTTTAAAAAATTTTACTTTAATTGGAGGCTAATTACTTTACAATATTGTGGTGGTTTTTGCCATAATCACATGAATCAGCCATGGGTGTACATGTGTTCCCCATCTTGACCCTCCCTCCCACCTCCCTCCCCATCCCATCCCTCAGGTCATCCCAGTGCACCAGCCCTGAGCACCCTGTCTCATGCATCGAAAGTGGACTGGCGATCTAGTTCACATATGTTAATATACATGTTTCAATGCTATCTGATATTTTTTTAAAGGATGTTTAAGTCATTGAATAAAAAGAATAGCCTAACATACATATTTAAGCCTCTACATTTCCTTTGACTTGGTGCCTTTGAAGAATCCTATAGGGCTGATATGTGAATATTTTATTTGGCCCAGATATTATTTAAAATAATATTTTATCATCTACAAACATGTGAGACATTCTTATTTATGTTTTAATGCATTCTGAATTCAAACTGAGTACAGAGATTTGATCTTCTGAAGTGTTTTACACCTTAGATTATGGACCTTGTGTGATCATTTTTTGTGAAAATTCTATATTTTCCTCTGTCACTGAATGTGATGTTTTCCATGTGCTCGTTCAGAATTCTGATGTTCAGATTCTATTAATGTTTGTCTACTTCTTCTGTCTATCATAGAGAAGGGGATGCGTTACAGTCCCCTGCTGCTACTTTGTTCCCTCTGTAGTTTTTTGTTTTGTTTGGTATCTTTTCTTTGTGCTTAGTCACTAAGTTGTGTCTGACTCTGCAACCCCATGACCTGGCTCTAACCGGGCTCCTCTGTCCTTGGGATTTCCCAGGCAAGAATACTTGAGGGGGTTGTCATTGCCTTCTCCAGTTGACGTGTTTTAGGGATATTAGGTTTATAAAACATTTTAACAGGCTATCATACATTTTATTACATTTAAGTGACTTTCTTTGTATTTATTAATGAATTATCCCTAATTTGTCCAATGAACTAACTTTCTTCAGGTTTACTTTGTGTAAAATACCTTCTCTCTCTCTTTTTTTTTTTTTTTTTTACCTCAAATTTCTCTGCACTATGCAAAGGGCAGTAAGGATTCTAAGATAGTTGAACCTCATTTTTGCACCCCCAGTTCAGTTTAGTTCAGTTCAGTCACTCAGTTGTGTCTGACTCTTTGCAACCCCATGGAATGAGCACACCAGGCTTCCCTGTCCATCACCAACTCCCGGAGTTTGCTTAAACTCATGTCCATTGAGTTGGTGATGCCATCCAATCATCTCATCCTCTGTCATGCACTTCTCCTCCTGCCTTTAATCTTTCCCAGCATCAGGGTCTTTCCAAATGAATCAGTTCTTCGCATAAGGTGGCCAGAGTAGTGGAGTTTCAGCTTCAGCATCAGTCCTTCCAATGAATATTCAGGACTGATTTCCTTTAAGATGGACTGGTTCAATCTCCTTGCAGTCCAACGGACTCTCAAGAGTCTTCTCCAACACCACAGTTCAAAAGCATCAATTCTTTGGTGTTCAGCTTTCTTTATATTCCAACTCTCCCATTGGTACATGACTACTGGAAAAACCATAGCTTTGACTAGATGGACCTTTGTTGGCAAAGTAATGTCTCTACTTTTTAATATGCTGTCTAGGTTGCTCATAGCTTTTCTTCCAAGGAGCAAGCGTTTTTTTAATTTCATGGCTGCAATCACCATCTGCAGTGATTTTGGAGTCCCCCCAAAATAAAGTTTGTCACTGTTTCCACTGTTTCCCCATCTGTTTGCCATAAAGTGATGGGAAAAGATCTCATGATCTTAGTCTTCTGAATGTTGAGTTTTAAGGCAAATTTTTCACTCTCCTCTTTCACTTTCATCAAGAGGTTCTTTAGTTTTTCTTTGTTTTCTGCCGTAAGGGTGGTGTCACCTGCATATCTGAGGTTGTTGATATTTCTCCTAGCAATGCTGATTCCAGCTTGTGCTTCATCCAGCCTGGCATTTCACATGATGTACTCTGTGAGAGTGAAAGTAAAGTCTCTCAGTCGTGTCCGACTCTGCGACCCCACAGACTATACAGTCCAAGGAATTCTCCAGGCCAGAATACTGGAGTGGGTAGCCTTTCCCTTCTCCAGGGGATCATCCCAACCCTGGGATCGAACCCAGGTCTCCTGCATTGCAGGCGGATTCTTTACCAGCTGAGCCACAGGGAGGCTCAAGAATATTGGAGTGGGTAACCTTTCTCTTCTCCAACAGATCTTCCGACCCAGGAATCAAGCCGGGGCCTCCTGTATTGCAGGCAGATTCTTTACCAACTGAGCTATCAAGGAAGGCCCTGCATAGAGGTTAAATATGCCAATTGACACTATATAGCCTTGACCTTCTCCTCTCCCATTTGGAACCAGTCTGTTGTTCCATGTCTGGTTCTAACTGTTGCTTCTTGAGCTGCATACATATTTCTCAGGAGGGAGGTACTGTGGTTTGGTATTCCCATCTCTTGAAGGCTTTGGCATAGTCAGTAAAGCAGAAGTAGATGTTTTTCTGGAACTCTCTTGCTTTTTGGATGTTGGCAATTTGATCTCCGGTTTCTCTGCCTTTTCTAAATCCAGCTTGAACATCTGGAATTTCATGGTTCACATACTGTTGAAGCCTGACTCAGAATTTTGAGCATTACTTTGCTAGCATGTGAGATGAGTACAATTGTGCAGTAGTTTGAACATTCTTTGGCATTGCCTTTCTTTGGGATTGGAATGAAAACTGAACTTTCCCAGTCCTGTGACCACTGCTGGATTTTCAAAATTTGCTGGAATATTGAGTGAAGCACTTTTAACAGCATCAATTTTTAGGATTTGAAATAGCTCAACTGGAATTCCACCCCCTCCATTAGCTTTGTTTACGGTGATGCTTCATAAGGCCCACTTGACTTCACATTCCAGGATGTCTGGAAAATGAGTTGCATATTTCATTAATGGGATATTCCATTAGTTAATTAATCCATTTTAAATTGATGGATTCCATTAATTAATGGGAGTTGCACTCCCAACTCATATGCTATTCCTATCAGATATATTTTACTCTTTCCTTTTTAACAGACAGAGGACTTGAATAGACATTTTTTTCCAGAGAAGATAAACAGGTAACCAACAGGTATATGAAATGTTGTTCAGTATCACTAGTCATCAGGGAAATGTAAATCCAAACCATAATGAAACTTCACCACACAGTTGTCAGATTGTCAGAATGGCTTTAGTCAGAAAGACAACAAACAACTGCTGGCAAGGATGTGGACAAAAGGGAAGACTCTGGCATTAAGGTGTGATTGTAAATTGGTGCAGCCACCATGGAAAACAGTATGGAGATTCCTCAACAAATTAAAAATAGAACTACCTTTACATCCAGTAATCCCCCACCTTGTTATTTATCTGAATTAAAAAGATATGTGCACCCCTATGTTCATTGCAACATTATTCACACTATCCAAGATGTGGAGGCAGCCCAAGTGTGCATTAATAGATAATGGATAGAAAAAATATTATATATATATATATGTAAATGCCACTCAGCCTTTAATAAAAATTTGCCATTTGCAACACATGGATGGACTTAGAATGTATTATGTTAAGTGAAATAAGTCAGATAGGAAACAGAAATACAGTATAATTTTACTTAGTTTTGTATCTTAATAGAAAACAAATGAACACATATATCAAAAACAAAACAAAACAAAAACCCCCAAATCATACATAAAGAGAATAAACTGCTGGGTGCCAGAGAGAAGAATATAGGGAAGAAAAGAAATACATGAGGGACAGTAAGAAATATAAAATAAATGTCAGTTGCAAAATAAATCAGTCAGGGTGTGAAATTTATAATGTAGGGGACATGGTCAATAACTACATAATATATGGTGACAAATCAAAACTAGACATATCATGGTGATCATTTTGAAATATGCAGAAATATCACGTCATTATGTTGTGTAACAAGGATTACAATAGTACAGTAGCTCAATCACACTTCAGACAAATGATCAAGCAAATTCATAACAAAGATGTCAGATTTGTGGTTACTAGAGACATAAAATTAAGTGAGTGCAATCAGAAGGTATAAATTCTCATTATAAGACAAATAAGTACTATGGAAATCATGTTTGTTGCTGTTGCTGTTGTTGTAGCTCCTAAGTATGGTCTGACTCTTTGCAGCCCCATGGGCGTAGCCCTCCAGGCCCTTCTGTCCATGGGATTTCCCAGTAAAACATTGTAAATATTAATGGAATTAATATTGATGCATGTTATATATGAAAGTCATTAAAAGAGTAAATCCTGATTCCTCATCACAAGGAAATTTTTTTTAAATTTCTTTAAATTTTTATCTTTATGAGATCATGTAATGTTCACTAAATTTACTGTTGTAATAACTTAATGATGTATGTAAGTCAGATTTATACTCTACATCTTACAAAGTGCTGTATGTCAATTTTATCTCAATAAAACTGGAAGAAAAAAATAAAAAAGAAACCCTTAAATAAGTAAGTAAGTGTTAGTCACCCAGTTATGTCCAACTCCTTGAAGTCCCATGGACTGTAGCCTGCCAGGACCCTCTGTCCATGAAATTCTCAGGTCAAGAATACTGGAGGGGGTTTCCATTTCCTTATCCAGGGGATCTTCCCCACCTAAACATAAAACCCAGATCTCCTGTATTGCAGGTAGAGTCTTTACTTTCTGAGCCACCAGGAAGAAAACCTTACTAGATGTATCGCTGTTGTTGTTTATTTGCTAAGTCATGTCCAACTCTTTGTGACCCCATGGACTGCAGCACACCAGGATTCCCTGTCCCTCACTATCTCCTAGAGTTTCTCCAAGTTCATGTCCATTGAGTTGGTGATGCTATCAAACCTTCTCATCCTCTGCTTCCCTCTTCTCCTTTTGCTTTCAGTCTTTCCCAGCATCATGGTTTTTCCCAATGAGTTTCCTCTTCACATCTGGTGGCCAAAGCATCAGAACTTCAGCTTCAGTCCTTCCAGTGAGTACTCAGGGTTGATTTTCTTTAGGATTGATTGTCTTGATCTCGCTGCAGTCAAAGGGACTATCAAGAGTCTTAACCAGCACAACAGTTCGAAACCATCAATTCTTCGATGCTCAGCCTACTTTATGGTCCAACTCTCATATCCAAACATGACCACTGGAAAGACTATAGCTTTGACTATAGGAACCTTTGTTGGCAAAGTGATATCATTGCTTTTTAATACGCTGTTTAGGTTTGACATTGCTTTTCTTCCAAGGAACAAATGTCTTTTAATTTCATGACTGCAGTCACCATTTGCAATGATTTTGGAGCTCAAGAAGAGAAAATCTGTCACTGGCTTCCACTTTCCCCCCCACCTTCTATTTGCCATGAAGTGATGGGACCAGATGCCATGATCTTAGTTTCTTTAATGTTGAGATTTAAGCCAGCTTTTTCACTCTCCTCTTTCACTTTCATCAGGAGGTTCTTTAGCTCCTCTTCACTTTCTGCAATAAGGGTAGTGTCATCTGCATGTCTGAGGTTATTGATATTTCTCCCGGTAATCTTGATTCCAGCTTGTGCTTCATTCAGCCTGGCCTTTCCCATAACGTACACTACATATAAGCTAATTAAACAGGGTGACAATATACAGCCTTGATGTTCTCCTTTCCCGATTTGGAACCAGTCCATAGTTCCATGGCCAGTTCTAGCTGTTGCTTCTTGAGCTTCATACAGGTTTCTCAGGAGGCGAGTAAGGTGGTCTGGTATTCTCATCTCTTTAAGAATTTGCTGCAGTTTTTTGATTTCCACACAGTCAAAATCTTTAGCGTGTCGATGACGCAGAAGTAGATGTTTTTCTGGAATTCTTTTGCTTTTTCTATGATCCAACAGTTGTTGACAATTTCATTTCTGATTCCTCTGCCTTTTCTAAATCCAGCTTGAACATCTGGAAGTTCTCAATTCATTTGTTGTTGAAGCCTCACTTGGAGAATTTTAAGCATTATTTTGCTAGAATGAGAGATGAGTGCAATTGTGAGGTAGTTTGAACATTCTTTGATATTGTCTTTCTTTTGGATTGGAATAAAAACTGATCCAGTCCTGTGGCTGCTGTTGAGTTTTCCAAATTTGCTGGCATATTGAGTGCAGCACTTTTAACAGCATCATCTTTAAGATTTTGAAATAGCTCAGCTGGAATTCCATCACCTCCACTATCTTTTTTCATGGTGATGCTTCCTAAGGCCCACTTAACTTCACATTCCAGGATGTCCGGCTCTAGGTGAGTGATCACATTATCATGTTTATCTGGGTCATGAAGATCTTTTTTGTACAGTTCTTCTGTGTATTCTTGCCACTTCTTAATATCTTCTGCATCTGTTAGGTTCATACAATTTCTGTCCTTTATTGAGCCCATTTTTGCATGAAATGTTCCCTTAGTATCTCTAACTTTCTTGAAGAGATCTCTAGTCTTTCCCATTCTATTGCTTTCCTCTATTTCTTTGCACTGATCACTGAGAAAGACTTTCTTATCTCTCCTTGCTGATTTTTTGAACTCTGCACTCAAATGGGTATATTTTTCCTTTTGTCCTTTGTCTTTCACTTATCTTCTTTTCTCAGCTATTTGTAAGACCTCTTCAGACAACCATTTTGCTTTTTTGCATTTCTTTTTCTTGGGGATGATTTTGATAACTGCCTCCTGTACAATGTCACGAACTTCCATCCATAGTTCGTCAGGCATTCTGCCTATCAGATCTAATCCCTTGAATCTATTTGTCACTTCCACTGTATAATTATAAGGGATTTGATTTAGGTCGTACCTGAATGGTCTAGTGGTTTCCCCTTCTTTCTTCAATTTCAGTCTGAATTTTGCAATAAGGATTTCCTGATCTGAGCCACAGTCAGCTTCCAGTCTTGTTTTGGCTGACTGAACAGAGCTTCTCCAACTTTGACTGCAAAGAATATAATCAATCTGATTTCAGTATTGAGCATCTGGTGATGTCCATGTGTATAGACTTCTCTTTTGTTCTTGGAGGAAGCTGTTTGTTGTGACCAGTGAATTCTCTTGGAAAACTCAGTTAGCCTTTGCCCTGCTTCATTTTGTATTCCAAGGCCAAACTTTCCTGTTACTCCAAGTATCTCTTGACTTCCTACTTTTGCATTCCAGTACCCTATCATGGAAAGGACTTTTTTTTTTTTTGGTG